TGTACAGAGGATAGACCGCAGGGACAAGGGGAGAAGCGAGGAGGCCCGTTAGGAGGCTGTCACTGTCAGCCAGGAAGGAGGCGGTGGGGGCTCCCGCCCGGCGCACCGGCCATTTTCCCTTTTTCTCCCTGATTGATGAGCTGTGGGAAAGGGCTGGGAACCCAACACGCTCCCTCCTGCAGGGACCCACGCCGTGTTCCCCGGCTTATCGCTTACCCTGCGTAGGCTCTGGTTACTGCATCTACGGAATGGAAAATGAACTTACACCTCTAAGTGAAAGAAAGAATAAATGTTTCTAAAGGCACTTAAAACTCTTTAGAAGGAAGTGCCAAAATGCTGGAAAACATTGTAGTGGTTTGCAAAGGTATTTTGCCTGCTGGAGAACAACATGTTTTTGTCTCAGTTCCTCCCCTAAAATGTGGATCCTGCAGAGGGACTGACTGTCAATAAGAAAGTGGAGTGAAAGGGGAGGTTTGGAGGATGAACGCGGGTGTCCTGAGAAAATCCCCTATGCACACCCACCTTGGAAACACCACCCTCCTGCAGGGAAGCCGGTCACACAAATTTGGGGGTTCCCAGTGCATATCAAAGTGATGTTTACACTCTACTGCAGTCTACTCGGTGTGCAATAAATAGCACAATGTCTAAAAAAAAATGAGAAGGTACAGACCTTAATTTAAAAATAGAAAACAGTAATTACAGCAGTAACATGAAAGATCGCTGACCAGGGATCACCGCGGCGCGTACAGGAGCAATGAGAAAGGTTGAAACTTTGCGAGAATCGCCAAAATGTGACACAGAGACACGAAGTGAGCAAACGCTGCTGGAAAAATGGTGCTGATAGGCTCGGTCAACGCTGCAAACCTTCATCTTGTGAAAAAAAAAATGCAGTATCTGCAGAGCGAATTAAAACGAGGTCTGCCTGGACAGAGGTCCGCGCGTATGGCCTAAGGAAACTACCAACCACCCACGTGCCAAGTTCGCGGGAGGTGAGAAGGCAAAGCCCCCGTCATCCAGCGCCCCGGGTGATCCTCTCCTGGGGTCTTACCCCGCCGCCTGAGCTATTGATGTGAAGCCCAAAAGCAGACAAGCCGAGCTGTGCTCCTAGAAGTGGGGCCAGGGCCGTCAGCAATGAGCAGGAAGCCAGGATGGAGGCGCTCTTGGGGTGGTGGTAATGTTCTGTTTCTCCACCTGGGTGTGGGTTTCATGAAACTCGTCGAGTTTCTGAACGTTCATCAGCCAGAACACGTGTGAGCTCTTCTCTGCGGCAATAAAACATTCCTTAGGGAAAGGCCAGGGGAAGTTCTTCTTTTCCCCAAAGTCTGCCCCCCACCCAGGACCTGAATTCCTACCTTTAAAGAGTCCCTAGATTCTGCGCAAATGCGTTGTTTTTAAAATTCCAAATATGGGGAGAATTAACCGGTAAATTGTTGCTCTTGGCTATAGGCACCTTGTATGGATTAATAGATAGGAGGGCACAGCTTAGTTTTGCCCCATTTGGGGACTTGATGTAAACAGACTCACATGACGTTTTAGTGTTTTGTGTCTAGCTTCTTTCACTGAAGTCTTGTCTCTGAGACGCCTCGCGGTGTGGCTTGTCACTGCGGATCGTGTGTTCCCATTGCCATGCGCGGAATTCCACGGTGGGAACAGAACGCGATGTATTTATTCATTGTGCCTTGGATGGGCGTTTGCTTAATTTCCAGTTTGCGGCCGTTGAGCCACTGTGAACCTCCTAGTACACGTCTTTTAATGAGGATGGAAGCTTATCGCTCTTGGGTACATACCCCCAGGCACTTGAAGGCAGCCTCACACCTAGCTTGGGCATGGCCTTACTAGGAGACTCAGCAGGTAAAGGTCCCCGGGGCGCCCCTCGGGGATTTGGAGGTCTGTAGCTATCTTGTCATAGGCTTCTCGACATCCAGGCAAGGAGCGGTGTGCAGGGGTGGCCGTGTCACCCTCAGACACCACCCTGCCTTGTGGCTTGAGCTCCTGGGGCTCCTGCCTGCCCACGTTGGGGAGGGAGGCCCGCTTTCAGGGAACGGACGGGCCATCTCGTCTTCCCAGCCCGTGGCTGTCAGCCTCCCGGAACAGAAGGAAGGGGTTGGGGAGGGTCCCTTGCGTGCTAAGCTAGCGCCTCTGAGCAGGGAGGGCCGGGCAGCCCTGCGGGGAGCACCCAGCCCCTTCCCACCTGGAGGCTCACCAAATACCTCGACAAGCAGCCCGAGCGGGAAGCTGGTGATGTCATCGCCAAGCCCGAACAATCCGGCCTTTCAAGGCGGGATGATAACAATCAAAACAGTATGTAAGGGCCTGCCACACAAGAACACACACGCTCGTCACACATGGGAGGGTCTGAACCCCGGGGTGAAGCGGGGCTTGTCAGGGATGGGCTGCTCTCCTTTCATAACCCCCGGCCGGCCGGAGAACGTAGCCTGGATAGAGGGAGTGAGCAAGGATGCTCGCTTACCAGCTTTCAGAGAAACCCATGGCTCTCTCCACCACCTCCCCAGGCCGCCTCACCTCTGACCCCAGAACTCACCCCTACACGGAGCAATGATCTGTGGTTGGGGTTCAAGCAGGAGTGTCCCACTGCACAACTCCAGGGGGTGCCATTCACAGAGAACACAGTGCACCCCCAGAACTGCACAACACTGAGGTTCCAAAGCTACTGCCGTCAGAATGAGGGAGCGAGGGTCTGGTGGTTCTCGCGTGCTGTTTCCACCTTGATCCCTAGGAATCTGTCTTGCTACAGCTAAGCTCCCTGGAAGACAACTCCACTGAGCCTAGAGACTCTCAAATAAGGTGCATGAGATCAGATGTTTCTCTGGCTCAGAGATGCCAGAGAATGAATGAGGTGTTCAGACTCCGTTAACCTGGAGGTTGCTCGTTAAAATCTTCCCCCATCTGGCCTGCTCTCCTAGTCTACCAGAGCGGGCCAGAGCCTTGGCTCCCTGGGCAAGCAGGCAAAAGGCAGCACCTGCTCCTCTCCTGGGGATTTGAGCCCAGGGAACCATCTCTGTCCACGATGCTTTGATGGGTCTCTGTGAGCCCCGGGAAACTGAGGCATATAGAGTAGTGGTTAAGAGTCCCCGCCGTCTCTTCCCAGCTGGGTCACCTGAGGACAAGTCCCTTAACCTCCTCGTGTGTCAGTTTCCCCATCTGTAAAGTGGGGACAACCGTGATAGAAGGCATGTGTGCGGTGGTGGTGAGGACGAAGCGTGTTGCTACGTGTAAAATGCTTACAGCCACGCCTGACACTCAGTAACCCTCCTTAACCGGCAGGGATGATTACCGTCATTTTTATTCTAGCCGGAGGACCTTGGTCTCCCTCCGCCGGGCGTGGCTTCATGAAAGACAAGCCGGTTTCGGCCGCAGGTTGTTGGAACGGGGTCTGTGCTGCTCGGGGCACACGCTTTGTGCTGCTGCCGCCGCCGCCACTCGCCAAAAATCCTTCCCCAAGCTCAAGGCCTGAGACTTTCTTTAAGTGAAAGGTCTGAGTGGAGATGCTAAGGGATAGATTTCAAGGGGAGCCCCTCCGGGGGTCAGCCTCCAGAGATGGGTGGCGACCCCTGGGGTGGAACCCCATCTTGGCCTTGGGAAGACCCCTGGATTGGGGCTGGAGCATTTAGCACTTGTCCCAGAAAAGCCGGCAGACTCGGCTATGCACCGGAAAGGTTCTTAGAAGATGACGCCGGGAGGGAGGGCTTCGACTCCAAAGCGTTTTCTGTTTTCATTTGTGCCTTGGCTTTAAGCTGGGGAAAGGGCGGGAAAGGCAGACCTGACCGCCCGCCCTGCTCTACCATCTCACACTGTTGCCTACATCATCCCTTCTTCCTGTAGGAAAAGTATCTCCCCAGCTCTCTCTGGCTATTCAAAGGCTCCCCATCCTTCAGAGTCCATCTTGAGTGTCACCTTCTCCATGATGTGTTACCAGATCACCTTTCTCTGCCAGAATCATTTCTCCCCAGAGGCTCTGCGCTTCTCTTACGAGCTACGGCAAGTTCTGTGCAGTCCTGTGGTTATTTGTATGCGGGTCTCTTCATCCTCTGCTAGATTGTAAACTCCTGGAAGATGGGGGCTCTTCCCAACGCCTTCGTGTGCCGCTGAAGCTCTCACACGTGACCAGGGCTTAGTGGTGGATTCTGAAGTCACCCCTGAAAAAAGTGTCCCCACTGGCCATCAGCTGCTATTTCTAGCCTTGGTTCTGACTGGGGTTGGAGGGGGTGGGTATCACAGAATCTGGAAGGCTGGTTAGTGTGAGTTGGAAAAGAAATTCGTGTGAGGTTGGAAGGGTCACCCGGCTGTGGGGGACAGGGGCCCTGAGTGTCCGTCTCAGTGTTGCCTCATTCAGGAACTTCGGGCAGTTTCAACAGTAGCCACCCTTTAAGGAGCGTCCACCCTGCGCTCTGAGCCGTGCCCAGCGCTTCCCGGCGACCGTTCCCCATCAGCAGAAGAACCCTGAACCCTGAGGATTTGATGCTCGATTTACAGGCTGAAGGCCAGCTTCCTCGTGGTGCACCTGCGGTCCCACCCGGGTCTGTCTGGTTTACCCCCTGCAAGTCACGCCGCCTGCAAAGACACTGAACTTCCCCTCGCTTTTGTTCTTCTGCTATCAATGAAGGCGTTGAACAAGGGCCTGTGAAGCCCAGTGAGTGTTCTCTGACTTTTAACTCTGGGGCGGAGAAGGAGGAAGAGGCAGAAAATGGGAAGGTGCAGCCTAGCCCCCAGGAGCCGTCACTGCCCGTGACCACCCCCTGCCCTTAACCCTCCCTCCTCCCTCCCCTCATCTCCCCCTACGCTACTCCCCTCCCTGCCCCTGCTCTCCCATGGATGGCCTTTCCTGGCCCTTCTCACAGGCTCCCCTCCCTCGTTACTCTTAGTCAGGCCCAGGGACAGGTCACCGTGGGGCCTGGCTTGTCACCAAAGGGCAGGGACGCTCTTTTGCAAAGAGCCCTTCATTCCCACTTGCCTCTCCCTGCTGCTGACCTGCCGACGTCCAGACTGGCCATGGCGTCTCTCTGCTCCTCTGCCAGGAAGACCAAAGCACAGAAGACAGCAGCCTGGAATCTTCCAAACAGCCAGGGTTTGGGTTTTTCCTCTTGCTTTTGAATCCTGCTTGGAATCTTCATAGCCCGTCCTGGAAAGGAAGCCTCTCATTCGGACTTTCCCTTCCCAAATGGAAATTATGGAGGGGACAGGCCAGCAAACCCCATGACCCAGGGATGCCGGCAGAGTGTCCATCAGTGTGGAGGTGACAGGGAGAGCACAGTAGGGCTGCAGGAGGCAGTGAGCACGGCTGGAGCCCCTCTCCGCCCCAGCGCCTTGGCAGACTGCACGCTGCCCTCTTTTATGGCGTCCCATCCCTGCCAGCCGTCTAGGCCCTCACTGCTCCTAAGTCAGCTCTGAGCTCGCGCTTCCTAGAGACCAGCCCTGCCAGCCTGAGCCCGGGCTTCCCTTCTGCTCCTTCTCACCTGGACGCACGGTGGCCATCACCCCCTATTGCTTTTGTTGATATGTCCTGTGTCCCCAGTGACCCTCCGCCTTGATGCTTCTGCTCTGTTTCCCAGGATGCCCTCCCGCGTTCCGCCTGATGCGTTCGCAAGTGGCCGCTGGTGTCCTCCCAGCAGGGGCCGCCCCCAGGATGCTCCTTCGTTCACTGTTTGACCAGCATAGCACGGGGCTCCTGAGTTGGAGGCGGGCAAAGTCCCCATCCTCATCACCTTTGATGACTTCTTAGGCCAGTGGTTCTCAATGTCGTCTGCACGCCCCTAAAACCTGCAGACCCAGGGCCTGACATCATGACAATCCTTCAGAATCCAACCCCCCAACCCCAAAAGGATTTAATTCACATTCCTGAGCTGACGCAAGTGCAAAGCAGAATAGAGGGCATGGAGGGGTCTGAGCCCTTCCCTTGGGCTGAGATGCACTGCACGCAGTGGCCAAGGGAACGCAGTGGGCCAGTGTGTGTGAGGGGAGAGCCGAGTTGAGGAGGGACACGTATGAAGGTGGGAAGGGCAGAGAAGCTGTGGTCCAGCCCTCGCCGTGGGCTGAGGGAGCCCAGAGGGACGCAGGAGGGACTCCACGACAGCCCAGTGAGGTGGCGCCCTGCTGAGAAAGGCTGGCAGGATCCTGAGGGTGCGGCACCTGGTTGGGCGGGCCGCCCCGCGCCAGAGCCGGGGCAGGGCCGAGGGAGCGCGTCTTGCCAGGGACAGAAGAATAGGGTTTCTGTGCTGCTTATCAGGATGGTGGCTCCTGGACAGGATGTGGAGGAGGCTTCCACTACCCGCCTGGTTGGAAGGCTGCAGTCAGCCCCGAGTCATGGTGAGGACTTTGAACATGGGAGCCCCACCTGTGACACGCTGGGGACGATGGGCGGCCAACTCCGAGGTTAGGTTTGGGGTGAGTCGTGTGCCTGCCTATGAACACGAGGCACAGGTGATGGCAGTGGTCAGCAAGCCAGCCACAAATTGCTGTTTCCACGTCAGACAGGGGACATGAGACCTGGCCAGGCACGTTGACCTCCCCCATTGAAAGAAAACTTGGACTTTAGCAAAAAGTCAGGGAACTGGTCACATTTGGTCAACCATTTAGGAACAGCGAGGGGATAGTTAAAAGGTTTGGAGGAAAAGGACCCTGCTGTGAGGGTTGGTCCAAGAAGGCAGGGCAGAGGCTGATGAAATATTGGAAATATTGGCAAGAATTTGCCCTTAAGGTTCACTTCGTCAACAGAAATATATTTTAAATGCTCCCCTCTTACTCCTGGAATAAGAGCTCAGGGTCAGCTTGGGCTAGAGAGGTGATAACAGAAGCTTCTAGAAGAAGCCTTAGTGGGGAGGGTTATGCTC